GCATGGTTGTCAACAAGAGGTAGAGGCCAAGTAAAGGAAAGTGAGTAGAAAGGAAAAACATCAATTGTAAGAAGAGAATGCATGGTTGTCAAAAGGAAGAGGCTAAACATCAAAACATCAATTGTAAGAAGACAGAATGCATGGTTGTCAACAAGAGGAAGAGGCCAAGTAAAGGAAAGTGAGAAGAAAGGTCTAAACATCAATTGTAAGAAGACAGAATGCATGGTTGTCAACAAGAGGAAGAGGCCAAGTAAAAAGAAAGTGAGAAGAAAGGTCTAAACATCAATTGTAAGAAGACAGAATGCATGGTTGTCAACAAGAGGTAGAGGCCAAGTAAAGGAAAGTGAGTAGAAAGGACTAAACATCAATTGTAAGAAGACAGAATGCATGGTTGTCAACAAGAGGAAGAGGCCAAGTAAAAGGAAAGTGAGAAGAAAGGACTAAACATCAATTGTAAGAAGACAGAATGCATGGTTGTCAACAAGAGGAAGAGGCCAAGTAAAGGAAGAAGAATGCATGGTTGTCAGAGGAAGAATGGACTAAACATCAATTGTAAGAAGACAGAATGCATGGTTGTCAACCAGAGGAAGAGGCCAAGTAAAGGAAAGTGAGAAGAAAGGACTAAACATCAATTGTAAGAAGACAGAATGCATGGCTGTCAACAAGAGGAAGAGGCCAAGTAAAGGAAAGTGAGTAGAATGGACTAAACATCAATTGTAAGAAGACAGAATGCATGGTTGTCAACAAGAGGAAGAGGCCAAGTAAAGGAAAGTGAGTAGAATGGACTAAACATCAATTGTAAGAAGACAGAATGCATGGTTATCAACAAGAGGTAGAGGCCAAGTAAAGGAAAGTGAGTAGAAAGGACTAAATATCAATTGTAAGAAGACAGAATGCATGGTTGTCAACAAGAGGAAGAGGCCAAGTAAAGGAAAGTGAGTTTTAATGGACTAAACATCAATTGTAAGAAGACAGAATGCATGGTTGTCAACAAGAGGAAGAGGCCAAGTAAAAGGAAAGTGAGTAGAATGGACTAAACATCAATTGTAAGAAGACAGAATGCATGGTTGTCAACAAGAGGAAGAGGCCAAGTAAAGGAAAGTGAGTAGAATGGACTAAACATCAATTGTAAGAAGACAGAATGCATGGTTGTCAACAAGAGGAAGAGGCCAAGTAAAGGAAAGTGAGTAGAATGGACTAAACATCAATTGTAAGAAGACAGAATGCATGGTTGTCAACAAGAGGAAGAGGCCAAGTAAAAGGAAAGTGAGAAAGAAAAGGTCTAAACATCAATTGTAAGAAGACAGAATGCATAGTTGTCAACAAGAGGTAGAGGCCAAGTAAAAGGAAAGTGAGTGAAAAGGACTAAACATCAATTGTAAGAAGACAGAATGCATGGTTGTCAACAAGAGGAAGAGGCCAAGTAAAGGAAAGTGAGAAGAAAGGTCTAAACATCAATTGTAAGAAGACAGAATGCATGGTTATCAACAAGAGGTAGAGGCCAAGTAAAGGAAAGTGAGTAGAAAGGACTAAACATCAATTGTAAGAAGACAGAATGCATGGTTGTCAACAAGAGGAAGAGGCCAAGTAAAGGAAAGTGAGTAGAATGGACTAAACATCAATTGTAAGAAGACAGAATGCATTGTTGTCAGCAAGAGGAAGAGGCCAAGTAAAGGAAAGTGAGTAGAATGGACTAAACATCAATTGTAAGAAGACAGAATGCATGGTTGTCAACAAGAGGAAGAGGCCAAGTAAAGGAAAGTGAGAAGAAAGGACTAAACATCAATTGTAAGAAGACAGAATGCATGGTTGTCAACAAGAGGAAGAGGCCAAGTAAAGGAAAGTGAGTAGAAAGGACTAAATATCAATTGTAAGAAGACAGAATGCATGGTTGTCAACAAGACGTAGAGGCCAAGTAAAGGAAAGTGAGTAGAAAGGACTAAACATCAATTGTAAGAAGACAGAATGCATGGTTGTCAACAAGAGGAAGTGGCCAAAATGCAAACTACAAATTGGAGAGACTAAAATCAAGTACAAAACTTTAAATAGCTAGGATGTATTTTAACAGAGGACTGAAAATATGACACTGAAATTCAAAGGTGTATTGAGAGAGCAAAATATGCCTTCTAAAAACTAAGCAAATTATTATAGAACAGGAAAATTTCTTTAGAAACAAAAATATTACTGAATTATTATATCGGTCCCTCTATAGTCAATGCTGAACAATTTCTTCAGAAATGAAGACTTAAAGCAACAGAAATGTGATTTTGCAGAAGGATGTTAAAAGTACCATGGATTGAACATGTGAGCAATGAGTAACTTGTAAGGAAAATGGAAACAAAAAGGATCTTTACATTTAGAATTATAAAGAGGAAATTGAAATTTCTAGGTTCTTGAATAATTAAAAGGACTTGAATAATTTAACATTCACAGATCATATAGAAGGCAAGAGTAAAGCAGCAAATAACTTACCTAACAACGCTGGTATGAAGGATAGCAAAAAGACAAACTATACTAAGAGCTACAAAGGACAGGAAACTGTGGAGAGCCATGATTGCCTTTAAGGGACAAGGCATATAGAAGAAGAAGAATCTAGGATTTTATCTTTATGCCTATCTCTATTGTTGCATGTAAAAGAAGAATTTTGATTTTTCGATAGAGTCCAAAAGCATATCTGCATCTTTGTAAGTGACAAATTATTTTCCACCCTACAACCTCTTTTCTCACAGATGAAATGTTGCAAATCTCTTTCTGCTCTATTGCTATTTCCATGGAAAGTGTTCAGACAGAGTACATTCCTTAGTTCCACCTTAATGGCTAAAACCCACCATACCACACACATTGTAGTGAACTATTCCCTTTGTATACAATTGGTGAGATGTAAGTTCCACTTGAGCAGCTTCTTCCATGAACTGCTGCTTTGTGGAACCAACTCCCAAGACTGACTTCCTCAGTCACTACAAACTGTACAAGTCTAGGATTAACCATTATCTTCCCCACATATCTGAATAAATTATGTGACTTACTCTGTAATTCTCTACCTCAAGTGATTCTTGGGCCTTATTTTTTGAATTTCTGTCTGAATTTCTAGGATAAGGAATTATCATCATTTATATTATTTATGCTCAAACTATGGTCCTTATCTTTGTTGTTATAATCACAGGGTTTCAGCCATTGTGCCGTCCAGCTTTTAATCAAGCACATATCGATCCAGATAACCATCAGGTAATTTTGAACTTAACCCTATATTTAATCTACAGAGGTTAATTGTTCTGGTTTTGCTGTCTGTGAGATATTTCTATAAGGTTACACAGATTGACAAGCACCCAATGAGTGCCAAAGAACACAACAGCCAAAACATTATGATAATAACAACAAAGATGAGGTCAATAGTCTGAGTGTAAATACCCATTTTCCCGCCATTCCAACAACACAAAAATGAATTAATAAATTAATTTATTTTTCCAATACATATATAAAACATTTGGATTTGTTTTTTAATTCTCGATAATTTTCCACATATGTTTTTAGCTTTTTCTATTGTTATAATAGTTTTTTAAACCAAATTAAATTTCTCATTGCAATATTATATACATATATACATATATATATATATATATATATATATATATATATATATATATATGTAGTCATTCACAGACAGAATGTTTTGCTGTGTCACAGCTCATCAGTGTGGTTAGACACGCGATTGCTTCAAACCAGGATCAAAAACTGACTGATTTGACATCAGTTAGAGACTCTCACCCTTAGGCCATTAGCTCATGCAGCAGGGAAAGGGAATTTTTAACACCTTGCATATGTGATATAAGTATTACCGGCTACCAGAGTGCTCAATTCATAGTGAAGAGCTTTTAATATTAACAGCAGCAGCCAAGAAATTCCCTTTCTTCCAAAGTGCTCAACCTACGTCACTATAAACTAAGTTATAATATTGATTTTAGAAAAAAAATGTATTGTATACACACACACACATATATATATATATATAAATATATATATATATATATATATACACATACATATATGACTAGCTTACTCCCTTTTAAGCATCATTTTCCACATATACACTTTATTCTATATAATTTCTTTCTTTACACTTATTTTTTGTAAATTCAGTCCAAAATTAAATCATTTCCATCTTCCCTTCTCTTAGATTGGTGATACCAGCTGTTTAATATCCTCATATATCCAGTATATGATCATACAATTCTTTTCCAATGATAGGCAACTATCTTATTTCATTTTGTAGTTAGTAGTTAGAATAATATATCAGATAGCATTCAATAAAAACCAATTATTTATCCCAATTTCTCAGTTTGAAAGTAGTATAAAACCTAAAACTTATTCATTGCTTAACAGGTGGACAATATACTAAGTAAAATAAAGAATGATCTTAATAAATTAATTTTTCATAAGTAAAAGTATAACAAAACTTCAATTTATTTCCTACTTTTAACAACTAGATTGCCTAATTAATTGTATTTTTATGAACAATTAAATATTTGTTCACAACAGAGAGTATATTATTTGTTTAACACATAGGGATATTTTAATTCTCTTCCCAATATATTTCTCACCTTAAAAAATGTTACCTTTTAAATTAATATTTTATAAATATTTTTTTTTAAATTTTTCTTTATTGATTTCTTACATTGGCATTTTCTTAATGTATTTCATAGCTACATTCAGGTATATCACTGCAGTATGAGATTATTCAAAGTAATAAGAACAAAGAAAAATGCACTTTAAAAAAAGAAAGGCTATCCTTTTTTTTGTTAAATCTTTCCCCATCATCATTATTACCCTTGTCATCATCATCACCATAAGCAGCAGTCAGAGACTTTCTCGTTACTATCCATGTCACATGAAAACATGGCTTATATTTGCGTTTCCCTAACAACGTTCGTATACACAATCGACGGGATAAAACTTTTGTCCAAATGTTGAGCATATTTCGTTATATCGCATTAGAAATAAAGATGTCGATCGGCCGAGCCCGTCTGGAATTGAAAACCATGAAAAACATCGCTAGTTTTCTGCCAGATTGTTCCATAGATGATCGCTTATCGAACATGCTTCAGTTGTCAAGACGCCATTCACATTTTAATGGCGGCGTCGCCATCTTGGCAACCCCAAACAAGCACAGAGAAGCAATATTCCCATCTCGTCAACTTAACCTTCCTCTGTTTGCATAGAATGATCTGTAGAATTAAAACAATAAAGTATAGCGACTTTTGAACTCTACAAAAATGATAAAAATGAACATCAAGAAAGGCTAGTTATGCTAGCAATAAGCTTTCATCCGGTTGTGTCAGCACGAAACCGGGCCGGAAATGACGTCGCTAACGCATGCCTCAGTTGTCAAGACGCCATTCTTATTCTGATGGAAGCGCCGCCATCTTAGCATCATCCAACAAGCAGAGGCGTTGTTCGGTTTCGAACTTGCATCCGAATAAGAAATAGTTCTTCATATAGCACTTAAAATCTGCCTCTTGAATAAGAAATAGATCAAATATATGCAGTATTCAATCATGAAATGTTTTATTTATTGAGCTTGAGAGCAGTATTTGTGCATAATTGCATTTGTTTTGACAAAGTACGTGTTTGGTGATAAATAGTTCGGTGTTAGGATACAAAGTATAGTGAGAGTGTGGCAACTGTTGCCCTAGGAATAAACGCCATAGCCACGGTATCTACGACGACTGCAGCCCGCCAACAACATACACCAAAAGGTGATTTTCCTTTTCCCATTTATGTTTCTAACACTGTATACACACTGTTGACTTCATAGTAACCCGATAGTTGCATACTTAAGTGGCCGAACTGACCACGATTTTCAATTCCGATCTTGTTTTTATGCGTTCCATCTTGTGGTCTGCTGAAAAACAATCGTTTTTGTATGTTTAAAATGGCGATTACACAAGCTACACTAACACGCACACCGGAGTGTGGCCAGTTTGTAGACAAGTTGAATTTTTTCACCTGCAAGCTGCTGACAGTGTTGTTTATTGTGTTGCAAATCTATGTTTATATCCAACATATGTTGCAGTGTCCTCTGCGTATCGAAACAGTCTGTTTTCTCGCTGTCTCTAGCTCACCTAAATGGGTCATTTTTTTTTACTATCATCGTTTTTTTGTGTTAGTTGTGTTGTTTAATGTTTGCCATGTGCCTTAGTAACCAACATGGTCTATCCTTCTTTGCTTTATTTCGATATCGTCATAAACATTAGCTCTCCTGAAGACACCGTCAATAATAGTCAGAAAAAAAAATTAAATCTTAATCTTGAAACCGATTGATTCTTAATGTTGATTGTTGACTCTTTCGATCTTTCATCCTATCTTCAATTTTTTTTAATAAGTTTTTCTTACGCATAGCTTTTCAAAGTATTTTTAACTTTCAGAATTTATTTCTTGGAATGTTTCACGATTTGATTTAAGCTTAGAATTATTTAATTTTTAACAATTTGTTCAATGCAAAAGTCGTACTTTCATACTTAACTTGCGTGTGTAGACGTAGAGGCTACAAACAATCAAATTTAACATATTCTCTTAAAAGTCACCCACCACTTCGAACTTGTGGAGATATTTTTTAATCCATTGTATTTTTGGAATTGTATATGTCCCGAAGAAAAATATTTGATTTTAATGAAAAATTACTTTTATTAACAAATAAAATATAGAAAATGGCACTGCCAAAACGTTGCACACGGTTCTTCGCGAAACAGACAAGTCTGATCTTGTTCACATGCCATCCTGGAAATGCAAACAACGTGTTGTTACCCGACTATGTTCTTTTGTTGTTTTTTTTTTTTGTTTTTTTATAGGTTTGCTTTTATTTATTATTATCACTACTTACTACCACCACCATCGAAAAGTTAGTCTGGAAAGAAATACCATTTGATTTAGTCATGTTTCTTATTTTGCTATCATTTTGTTTTGTTAAGTCACAAAAATAAACCGATTTCGAATTTACTGTATTTTTACTTTCACAATCCCTTCACTAGTTTTTTTTCTCCAATGCATCTTGTTTTAAAGCTTTGAATTATTTTATCCTTAGTTTTACTTTCGATTATTCTTTATCCAATCGTATCATTGGTGATCTGTTAGGTTTTTTTATTTAAAGGTCCATATGTTTTGCTCTTCGATTTAGTTTTCTTTTTTCTTTTGACAATATCGGAATTATTTCTTTTTTTTTTTTTTTTGGTGCGATGTTTATTTTTCAGCATTATGATACACATTGGCGCCAAGTCTCGGTAATTCGAAAATATATTGTTCACATGTGGTAATTCTGTTAAAATTCAGTTGTTCAAGATTAAGACTACTACTTACTTGTTCTTCCATTGTTAGTAATTTCACGAAACAATACTTCAATTCATCTTTAGAAATTTGGAAGTTTTCATTGCTGCTCTAGCACTAGCAAATTTAATTAACTTTTTTTTCTTTTTTTTTTTTCTTTTTTTGGAAAAAAGATATATTTCTCCAAAATTGGATATTACCGATACTTTGAGAAATTTTTTTTTTTCCTTGGTAATTAAAAATTTCAGAGTTACTGTCTCCAACTTTACAATTGAATACAGTGTATCTGTACGTTGGCTGCATTATCCCAGCTTGAAGAAATGGTTGTGCGTGTGTGTTTTGTGTTAGGCATTTATCATTATTGTTAGTTGTGTGTCCGATGTTTGCTTGGTTGGTGATGAGTCGGGCGGATGTGTACGTTGCTGGGACCAGCCTTCCATTGTTGGCGTCCAGCTGTTCTTATGGCAACCGACGACCGATAAACAACCAAGTGCTCGTAGCCTCATACTTGCTTGCCACTGCAACCAACAACCTTGTACTCAGACTCCTTAAGTCGAGCGTCTCCCGCTCTCTCTCTTTTTTTTTTTTTTTATAAGCACTTATCCATCATTATTCTCGTCTTTAAAAATTTATCTTTCCACAAAGTTACACCATCTGTTTCCCTATGAATCTTCTTCTTGAATAATAATATTTCGAATTTAATTTTAACCTCAACAAATTGATACGCTTCGCTTTTATTTTAGAGCAGTAGTGGCTTATTTTTGAATTGGGAGAAAAAAACTGTTTATTTAATAATCTAAAGTTATTTGCAGTATTTATTTTTAAAGAATATGACAATATTCGCTCTCTGATTATTTTCCATATCCTTTCCACACAAGAAGCTTATTTTTTTGTAAAAACAAACCTTGAATTTTTTCTGTAAAACTCTGTTAAAAAAGTTTTCATTTAGCTTTAGTTTAATGGAAAGTGGAATTAGCTAGATTTTAGTACTTTGTTGTAATTCGACACTTCCAAAACTGGCGATTCAAATTTCATTGTTTACGTTTGTTTTGTTTTCTTGTGCTACTGTACGAAAAGTGAAATGATAGTGAGATCGAAAAAGTAAAAGCACGTGATCGTTGTTTGTCGCATATGGTAATGATTGAATATTGAATGAATCGTAATAAATTGGGGGCGGGAGAAGAAAAATGTTTACAAATTGTCTGAAATGTTTATTTTTATTTTATATAATATCATTGAGATTTTTGGATTCACTGTAACAAATCGGATTTCTAGAAAAAAATCCGGTACAAAAAAGATTTTTTTTTTATATAGAGGTCGTTATTTTATCTAAGTGTATCCTTTGAATCCTTTGTAAATTAAAATATTTTTTTTATATAGCCAGTTTTCAAAAAATTTGTATTTGTAACGTACCTCCACAGATTCGCTAAAAAAAAAAAAAAAATGAGCATGTTGAAAAAAAATGTCCCAAACTTAAAAAACAGTTTAAGAAGACAGACCAAAGGATTTTTAATTATTAAATTCTATTTTGTAATCCTTTTTTTTTTTTTTTTTTTTTTTTTAGAAGCTTCATAATTTTGGTTAAAATTTTTATTTTGCTTGCGTCAGCGGGGGTGGGACATTATATGAAATTTGAGCGTTTTTACGGTGAAAAACATTGATTTGGAAATTCTTGCAAAAATCAGATAATTTTAGTGAAACTTTCAGGATTTGTTTTCAAATTAATTAATTTTTTTTTTAATTATAATAATTTAAAGTTTTAAATCTGTTTAAATTCTGTATTAATTTCTTGCAGTTAGGTGATATTAAGTAATAATCATAAATGGACAAGCTAACTAAAATTCAGCTACCCAGCCAGTATTTAAAAAAAAAAAATTGTACGTGTGTGTATAAATGTGCTGATTCTTGTAAATACTGACGTCCATACACATTATCAGAAAATAAGAGCAGTAACTTAGTAAATTTATTGGTAATTTTCTAACATTTCTTCAACAATCGTCTTTGTAAGCAAGACTAAAGCCAAAAGTACCTGGTGAAATTCAATAAAATGTTAGATTACCTAGAATATTTTCCTAAATTTCTAAGATTACTGAGTAGTTATATATATATATATATATATATATATATATATATATATATATATATATATATATATCGCGTTATATTAAAGTAATTTTATAGTTATGTCCCTGTAGAAAAATTTCCCAAACAAGTCTATTAAGATAGTTCTTAACACCTCATAAAAACGTCTATGTTAAAAATGCTTTTCTGTCATATTTTAAACTATAAGTGAGTAATATTTGTTTCAAATCAGATTAATTAAACTTTAAATCAGCTAATCTGCTTCAAATATAGTTTCAAAAAGTGTATTTTATTTTTGAAAGATTTTTTTTTTTTTGCATAAAGAAAATCATGTTGTGTTGACAGATTCAATGATATAGTTTAACAATTTAAAAAAATAATTCCAGTTAATTTAAATTCAGTGTGAAATACATATTTTGCTTATTGGAAATATTAAATTTAATCTACTAACTTGAAATTAAAACTAAAATGAAAGCTTCAAGAAAGATTTTTCATTTTTAAAAAAACATTTTAAACCATAGTTATCACTTTTCATTGAAAGTACCTATGTATAACTTCAGCAGTTATGGGCTTACACCAACAATTCCAATAAGCAGCATAATTTCAACCTGAATTTTCTTTTAATAATCTCTTAATCTATGCTTTACAATAACATTTAAAAGAAAAACATGCTTTAATACATAAAAATATACTTTTTCTTTTTTTCCTTTTTTTTCTTTATACATAGAATGGTTATTTTTTATATACATTTATACTGAGCATGTTTGACATGTTTCAATTAGAATTAGGATCTTATATATAGTTTTGTTTTGTTTATTTTTTTTTAGAGAAAAAGAATTAAGGCCCAACCTACATATAAGTAATAATTTTAAGTTGAGATCTGCATTATAGGAATGGCTAGAATCAAGTTTTAACTTCAGACATTAAAATAAATAATTAATTACATAAAAATGTATAAATAAAATATATTGCATTTTCCTTTATTGATTTGAATAGAAAGTTACTTTTACCTTTAACACTTAGTGCTTCAAGTTTGGCTATAAAAGAATCTTGAGTGAGTTTTCTAAAATATCCTACTTTGTTACATTACTTTCAAAACGTTCAGTTTATCTATACACAAGGTATATCTAAATAATGATTTCTTGGTCCACAAAAATAGGTTGACCTATACATGTAATCAGGAAATACATTCAGTACTCCTATTTACAAGTTCATCTAAAATTTTTAATATATTGAATCTTTAATAGATTTTTTTATATGTAAATAAAGCATATCAGATTTACTGTACCAGTGATAAAATAATATAAAGAAGTTTTTAATACTTATGAGCTTCATTTTAGCTATTACATTTTTT